CTAGAGCAAATGAAGCTTCAAGAAGCTTTGCGCTGGAGTGAACCAATTGGATGAAAGGCTTCATTGCTTCGTGAAGCTTCATCTGCCCATCACTACGGTTTACCGCAGGAAACAGCAGTCCGTCAAAGGTTCCGCATCAACCAATCAATCAGTTTATAACCATGTCTGTCTCCTCCAGGAGGTTTCCAGAGTCGCATCTCAATCACAGCGTTTTTCAGTCAAAGTTCAGATGTTTCACTAATCATATACATTAGAGGAAGCTGTTAAATTTGACCAAAAATTATTTTCTGAAACCATTAAGTTCTGTTAGAAACCCTCTCTTCTGATACACAAAGGGCACAACTCATGTTTCAGGCACAGGGCACAATGAAGAAGTGTAACCACATTCTATTAAAGGACTTTATTGTGTACTGATGCACATGACATCAGGATAATTGCTTGTTAATCTAGTTTCTCCTCCAAAGACCAGAAACTGCTGCTTTGTAAGATGTTAACAATGCTTCAACATGTGTTTCAAAGTCATTTTTGCAAAGGTCCCTCTTTAAAAAACATGATGTAAAGTGCATTGCCGTGCAAAATTAAAGAACATTTGACATTTTCTTTGTAAAATCTTCTTTCAGATCTGCAGTTATGGTTTGATGTAAAACAGCTATTTTAACCAATGGCTGCCTCCTCCTCCATACATCAAATGTTTAGAGGGTTTTGCTCCAGTGGCTCAAAACATCGTCACTTCCCCTCATGGTTAATACTGTGTCTAGTAACATGGTTCACTTGTGGTAGGTACTGATAAATGGACTCTTTTGTCATAAAAGAGTTTTCTCATTATCATGCACAGCGAAGGTGAAGAATGCAGCTGATTGTATCTCCCCTTCTGCAAACTGAATTATCCACATTGTAAGGCTCCTGGATCACCGTTTTCATTGTTCTGTCTTACTAAAACTAAAATAGTTTTTAAATAAATTTAGCAGTAATTCATATCACGTAGAGAGAAGTGTTTATTCCACTTTATAACAAAGTACAAAACTGTAATACTATAGTGGCAACAAATTTTTACAGTTTTGTGTTAAATAATGTGTCAATTAAATAAACATCATTACAAAAAGTGCTTTTGATCACTATTTACATTTAAATTATGATACTACTCAGCAGATGTGATCATCTACCAGATGAGGTGCAACAATGTTAAGAGTGAGTTTTCCTTCCACGCCGTCGCCTCAGAGAGGCGCCGCTGCAGTTTGTCCTCCCTGGGTTGCAGATGTTCTTTAGCTGATAGGGACCGTTCCATGTACAGATCTGCTGTTGACAGGAAAGGAAGAGAAAACCGTTTGGGCGGAGCTTCATTCACACAGTGATGTAAAAAAACAAAATGAAACACTATTCATGCTTTTTGGCATCACTTTTAAAACTTTATGTTCCCACTTAAAAATTGTATGTTAACTTTTAATGAGAAGTAAACTGAACAAGTGCACAATGCATAAATATCTCTGTTTGAGGTATTTTGATGGTAACGGTTAGACAAGAATTGACAGATACCTGAGTGAGGCAGGCAACCTAAAGATTTTGGAACTGTAATAACTCCGGCTTCAGGTCTTCTCTGGTGTCATATGAACTATAGTGTCATCAAATAAGGAATTTGTGTCAGAGTTATTTTTATGTTACAGTTTTGTTAGTTCACCAAATGTTTTATTATTGCATTCTTAACTAGCATTCCACAATGTCAGAGTTAGTCATTGTACCTTAGAGAGAACAAGGGTTTAAATGACTTCAAGAGAGCATTAAGTTTGATATAATGCAAAATGACGCTTGCAGATAAGAGCTTAATGTTTAAGGACAGTTTCTCTGACTGAATCTGAGCTGTTTTGTCTGGATAATAATGAATTTCACTGCATGAATCTCAAGTTACCTAGAGACACATTTTTCAAATTCAGGTTTAACAAAAAAGGCAGCTTCTTTTTATGGTTTTGACTTTGACATGTGCAAAACATTTGCTGCACTCGATATAAATCCTGATTCATTCTGGCCTGAAGGGAAATATTTTCTTGATACTAATTTCTTTGTACAGCTGTTCTATTAAAATATTTCCTGTTGGACTTCCTTCATTCCTCAGCACAAATCTGGAAACACAGATATCTAGTTTTTCCTACAGTTCAAAAACTAAAAAGCAGGGGAGAAACTTAAACTGTTGCTCCAAGTTACTCTCCAATAAGATCATTACATGCTGCATTTGTTCTCAGAAACACATTGAGCTGTACTTTATAATCTGCAATAAACCTACAAGCGGAATTTCCACTGTACTCAGACGATTTGGTGCAAACTAAGCTAAAAAACTTCACCAGGGACACTGATGAAAGCCAAAAACATTTTGTCTTGTAAATAAAGTAATTTAATTGAGTGTGACCCTCCTCTCTAGTTCATCATTCACATATAACATAGTACTAAGTATATAAATACTTTTACAAAGGCAAAAATTGCAAAGAGAAAAGGGAACAGGAGGATAAAAAGCATAAAGTATGAGCCATGCATTAAGGAGTCAAAAGTAAAATATTGGATCTTACCCTTTTTTCCTCTGAAAAAGCTTGTGTAAAACGAACACTACTATGGCTGCAACTGCAAAGAAAATTTCAATGAAAGAGTTGGTGTACTGCCTATTTCAAATGAACTGTTAAAGTGTGACTTTCAAACACAAAAGTTTTACATTACCTAATGAAACGCCTATCACACTGATTATAACAGGTGTATAATCTGGAAGACACATTCGAAGTTAAATGCAGGACATAAACAAAAACTGTGTCATATCTTTTCAGGACGGAGGGTCAGTAACTCACCAGTATGCTTGTTGGCATCCAGTGCACCATCGACCTTTTCTATAAGTGAAAAACAGTAATGTTAGTATGTAAACTATTTAAACTGCCAGTGACAACAGGACGCATTAAGGCTTCATCAGAAACATGACAAACACATACAATAAGGTCTGGCACAAACCCACTATCACAGATATGATTTCAAAGCAACTATGCGTAATTATAGTATCTTTTAAATAATTTTGCCACTATATGTTTTTGTATGGAGAAAAAGTTGCATTACTTTCAGTCTATTTATCTCAGTGTCTCTGTGTTGGACCAGTGAGGGGAAAACCAAAACCATTAATATATTAACCGGCAGAGGGACTAAAGGAGGATGGCTACGGATATCAAGTGACATTTCTATTCAGGAAGGAAATTAAAAAACATCAGTATTTCCTTTGCAAAAAATACAGATAAATGACATCAAGCTGACAATGGATAAGAGGCGGGGGTACATCCTGGATAGGTCACCAGTCTGTCATAGGGATGACACACACAGATAACCATTCATACTGTACCTATGGGCAATTTAGAGTCACCAATCAACGTACAGTGTCCTGCATGTCTTTGGACTGGGAGGAAGCCGGAGCGCCCAGCGGGAACACACACACACAGGCATGGGGAGACCTCCACACTGAAAGGGTGACAGTGCTAACCACTGCACCACCGTTTCACACTTAGACTGAAACCACATTCATATGTGTCTGTTAAATATGAAGGTAAAACCAAGAGGTGGTTGGTTTATCTTAGTTCAAGGACCAGATGCTGTTTAAGCTGCTCAGAGCCTGGCACAAAGCCCCCAGTTGCAAGTGTTTGTTACATACTTCTGCCAGAAAGTGAAAAAATGTTTTCCCCAAGAGGTCTGTTTGTTTAAGAGAAGCGGAAAGTTAGGTTGGTTAGTTGAAATATTCCAGGCAATATCTAAACATTGAACTAAACGGCTAAGAATCCCGGTCGGTGAGACGCAGTACGAGTACGCCGTGTCTGATGGTTATGTAGCCTCACAATTCACACAAATTATGTTGTATGAAATCCAATGTTCCACTTCAGAGGAGGTCTCAAACTAAACTTGACATTTCTAGAATTCTTTCCATCAGACAGTGGTGACAAGAAACAATGCCTTATAACAAATTACAGGCCAAACAGAAAAAAGATGATTCAAACACTGAAGAAATCTTTCTATACCTCGAATTGAAGATGGTGTTGGTACAGTTGTAATACTTTTATTCCCAGCTGTCAAAATATCTCTCCCACCTTTGAACAGAATGAGCAGAGGGATTCTTAATTCTTCTCGAGCTCGGACAGGATAAAAGTGACTCGCCAAGCTGAGAAGCACTTCAGAGATGCATGCAACAATCCATTTATGCTGTCAAGTGCTGTGACTAAAAGGGTTTCAGCTTAATTACATGCTCATCAGTGTGGTTGGAGATGTTTTTTTCTGTACCTGGTGCAGAAGCTGAGACAGCTGGTGTTGTGATAGTTTTATTTCTGTGAGCTGTGGGTGTGGAGGATGAATCTGTAGAGCTGCTGTGAGCTGTGGGTGTGGAGGATGTATCTGTAGAGCTGGACACTTCTGTGACATGGAAAATAGCCATTACTTTGTCAAAATATTTAAAAAAAATATAGAATATACGTGCTGAGTGTTCATAATATACAAGATACCTTGTAGTGAAAGAAGTGGAATAACAGTTAATATCTATCTAAATTCTTCAGTGTAAAAATATGTGAATGATTTCCAGATTTTTTTGTGCGAGTTATTTCTATACCTTGCGTTGTGGGTGTAGGAGTTGGTGTAACCATTTTCGTTGCAATTCTATCTTCCGTTGTCACACCTAAGAATGAGAACACTACTGCAATTATATCATCCATCAATCATTTATGATTTTTTCCTCGGGCATATAATGTGCTACATGACCAGATGTAATGACAAAATCCAATGGGAAGATCTCATCTGTTTATTTGTCACAACAGCATCACTTGTGCCTTGTGATCTAAAACAACATCTGGGTAGTGACTGAAAAGCAACTGTAGAAGTACTAGTTAATGGTACACATGGAATAAAAAAAAGTCAACTTACAAGTCTAAGCTGTAAATTTAGTTTATTTGTCACAACAGCATCACTTGTGCCTTTCACCATCATCTTCTAGAAAACTAAGCTCAATGTAGTGTTAGGTGAAGGACATTTTAGTGGAGGGCAACACTTTTAGTCAGTATGCTGTTAAGCTGATAGTGAGAGCATGGCAGTTAGTAAATAAATGGACATGGAGTGAGAATAGATATGAATGGTGAATAGAAAAATGATGTAAAGCTTGAATATGGCTTCATAAAAAGAGTTAGAAGAGAATAAATGATCATGTTTAATGTCAGCAGTGTGTTCAACGCTGTGTTCTCAGTGACAGCATGGCAGCACCTACAGTAAGAGCAATGCATTTAATTAAAAACAATATATTACTAACAAACTTGTTTGAAACCAGCTGCTACAGTACTGATTATATAAACCTTTGTTCATGCCCATTAAAGACTGGAAAGTTATTAACATTGCATTTTCTTATTTATGCACATGCACATGATATGAAACTATTTCAAAGCAGAGTTTTTCTGACTGGTTTTATTGCATCCCAGGCAGCCACTGTTCTCAATTTATTTTACTACTGTAGGAAAGTTGCAGATTCCTTCTGAACGGCACAGTAACTCCTCACAGCTTTCATTTTGCAGACTTTAAAGTTTGTTCAAGTTTATTAACATGCACTTTATCAGGGTGTGGTACACTGGGGCATTCACAACGTGGTGAGTGATGTTTTAAATGAAAGTCATTTCTTGTTCTATCTATGTATTATTGCCAGAGAATGCAAAACTATTCACTGAGTCTTTGATTCTGTCCTTGAAGGCACCAACAGACATTTGTGAGGGTTTTTTCATCACCGCCGTTATTATCTAAATAATATTTGACTATCATAAGTGACAAAAAATAACGATGGCGGCTATTCACTCTGTTAGTTTCCCTTGGACATCAATGCATACAGCAGTGAAATGAATGGGAAGCAGTGGCTTGACTCCAGCCCAAAAGACTGGAAATCAGTTTACAAAGTGTTTCCATGGTTTGAAAGTGGTCCACAGTATTCATAAAGTGGATTTGTAACAATGTGTCCAAACATGGAATTCCACTGTCACAGCACTAACGTCACAAAACAATATGACTTTGTGCGCCTCACCCTGCGTCTCATCAGAGTAGCCAGAAATCAGCAGAACAAGTCAAACACTTGGATGCAGTGGACTTACCTTGGCACTGAGGAGGCAGTGAATCGTAATCACCAGTTTCACTGCACACAATGGTATCGTTCCCCACCAGGGTGTATCCTTCATTACAGGAGAACTTTATGGTTTCTCTATATTTTGGGTCATCATTAGAAGCCCATGAGCTTTTTCCATTGGCCACTTCTGCTGGTTTTGCACATGTTACAACTGAGGAATCAGACAAACAGGTGTTTTCATATTTTTCTTACAATGGGAAAAGTATTCACATTGTTATCATATAAATGGTGCTACTTGCTGACCGATGTGAAACAAGACGAAGCACAGAAACAGTGTGGACGCAGAGGAGGAAGAAGAACTTCAAAGACAGAACAAACAAACCCCCTGCTGTATAAGCCACGTATTAGGAGGAGGGCAACAGCAGAGGTCGTCATACAGAATGCACCAAGCACTTGTTTCACTAACTGTAGCTTAAGAGATAGAAAATTAAATATATTTACTTTCACACCTGGCTTTTCCACTCCACCCTGTGGGATAGCACGTTTTGTAGCTTGATCCAAATATCTGGTATCTGTTGAAAAATTAAAATATAGCAGAACGGTTTATTTAAGGAAGAATTAAATATGCAAAGCCATGGTTGTAGAAGACAGTGGAATGGTAATTTTAACTCTGAAACTAAATTCACACCGAGTTTAATCAAGAAGTATGAACAACTTTGTTAAAGCTGAAGTAACACGTTCTGGCAATGGTCTCTTTGTCTTTTGGAACCTTTATTGAGACTTTTTCCATTAGAGAATCAACCTTGACTTCAGAATGTCTGTCTGCCAGCAGCACTGTCTGGTACAAAGCTTTTGGCAGTTCAGCAAAAAGAGATACTTGTATGTAAATGAACATGACTATCTACTGAGTGCCTCCCTGTACTGTCATTTTTGGATGTGATTCAACCAGATAGCATTGAAATGGCAATATTTTATACTTTTACCATGTCATACTCACCCTTTATCACAAATAACTCTTGCTACAGCACCAAACAGGGTACCGGCGTTGGTATTAAAGCTCATATTTGGTTGAGGTTGAGGGGGGCCACAGTCCATCTCTGTAATTTACAAACAGAGAACAAAACACTGCTGCTAGGGCATTAACCCCAAAATGACAGGACAGTCAGTGGTTGATGATTGTGTTTGATAAAAGTGTCAACAGAGTTAAAGTTGTTGTAGGCAGGACTTACTTTTGCATGTAAGCTTTAGTTCAGTCCAATCCCCATTAGTGCAGGTTATTGTCTCTGAGCCACCTTCTTTTTCATATCCATAGGCACACTCTAACGTGACAACAGTGCCCACTGGAAAGGCATTTAGTAGAAGTGAATCATCGGTTAGGACGATACTTTCCGTTCCCTGAGGTTTAGGACAGTCAGCTGGAGGAAAAAAGAAACAGCAAGGTGACATAATCAACAATAACATCTTACTGTCTGAAGGTCAGGCATAATAATTAGGCTTCTGAAAACCATTAATATAGTTAAATAAGCAAATACATAAAGACAATATTATGTTCACCATATAGATGACACAATGCATGTGCAAAAATATTCTTGGAAACCCAAATTTCCCTCTGGTATTGGTAAGTGATTTTTAAACTGTTCATAAATTTATGATAAAATATATACCCCTTAAAGGCTGGCATGGAAATTGGTTCTGATAAGTTGCACAGGTCTTATGCTTCTCTAGTGTAGGCAATAAAAACAAACAAACAAACAAACTAAGAGGTGTGTCAGTGGTGGTTAATTTTTGGCTAAGTTTATTATAGCATCTTTGCCTTTTACCTAATTATGGTACATTAATTAGCGATTGTTTTATTCTTTTATCTCTTCTCTTGACCGTTCATCTCACAAAAATACTCCCAGAAAATCCCCAGGACAGTGTAGTAGTTAAGTTTATGGTCCTAGTTAAATTCACATGTAGCCTATATTCAAACTGATACTTGTTTGATACTGCTGCATCTATAAAATACAGATATTCAGTTATTATTATTATCATCATCTGTGACATTAGAAAACATATGAAGGAGTGAGTTATTTTTCCTTTCAGATCACATAAAGTGTCACGTGAATAGTTTATCATTGTACTCAGTCATTTTAGTAACTGGCAGTAAGCAACACATCCTTTTGTCTGGAGGTGACAGAAAATACAACCTGTGACTTGGTAGGCTGATAAATATGATCTCATTAAACACACTGCTTGGCACTGACCTGCTGCCTTCCAGATAAAGAGGCACAGTAATAGAAGACATGGGACTCCTGTCCGTCCACAGGCGCTCAGTAAAGCCTCCATTCCGGGCTGCAGACGCAGTGCGTACTTCGGTCCAACTTCTTGAGACAATTATCGTCGACACACGACGAGCTCCGCTGCCAGAAGACACTGCTCCTCCCCAGAACACGGCACCGACACCCAGGTTGTCCATTAGTGAAGTCACATGCAGCAGCCAGAGTGGCAGGAAGTAAACTAGCCCCCGCAATAAAAGCACCTGTCTTTCTTTAATATCCGATCACAATCACCTCCGTGAAAGTGTCATTACTTCTGTTCCATAATTACTCTTTCTTTTACGTTGTTCTGTCAAACTGATCATTTAGTGATGTACGTGGTTACATATTTGCATTTTAGCTATATTTGGTTTATTGCCCGCAGTTGTGTATAACGTTTATATAGAATCACTGTCTAGATAAGTTTATTTATCTTGTCATTTTTCGTCAAACTTTCAGTGTCATTCTTATGCGACCTGGTTGCTTTTACACTGAAATGTCCCATTTAAATAATTTGCAATATTATATAAAAAAACTCGATGTATCATAACCAAGGGTTTTATTTAGAAGGGTTGGACAGGAAGTTCCGCTTTTAAACATTGACAACCTTGACAACCTTGTGTTCTGGGGGTAAAGCGGGCACAGAGAAAGGCTTCAAAAACTAGTATACAAATAGATAACATTTGAAAACCGTAGTTATAAGATGTGCGTGTAGTTTTGACGAGGAATCAATAAACAAACTCTTAGTTTGTCCACCAGCTACAGCAGCTCAGTAGTCCCACCTCCTGTGAGAGGCACAGACATCTCTTGGAAGAAGAAAATCTATGGGTGTGTCCTGAAAAAAAAGGAGCATTCCCTCTTTGAGACCTCAGATGGGAAGTTCTGTTCTGTTCTACTCTATTCTACTCTAATGTCAAGACTCTTAAAAAAAAGTTGTAAATCACAGAATCATTTCTGTGATTTACAACTTTCCTGTACCAAGGATACAGTATAACAACAACCATAATCATCATAATAATAACACATAAACAATAACAAATAAATCAGGGGTTGTGATGCTTTTGTTTTCATTGTGGTTTCCACTACGGAGCCCTAACCGCTTTCATGGTTTGGGCCATTGTCATGGATACATTCCACAGCTTTCTTCAATAAGGGTGCTGAGCCTCATTGCCTCACGCACACTCTGGTGTAAATTCCAAGGAGTTCACTACACCACCCCTTTTCAACCACATAAGCTTGTTGGCAGGCCTGCCCGTGTCCTCCACCCAGAGTTGCCAGAGAAACCCTCAGACACATTACATAGAAACCTGACAACACAGAGCTGACAAAGTTAGTGGTGCCTATCTGCACTCTTTAGTGAGCGCATTTTTAAAGAGTTTAGTAAAACTAGGAGATATTTACAGAAACTTGACGTCTCACTTCATTGGGTGTAACTAAATGGAATATGCATCAGTACACTCAAATGGATGTAAAGCCAATAAAATGTGACCTGTAAAAAACATTGTGGTACCTTCTATATCCTTTTATGGCATTCATAAAACTAGCATTAGTACCTGCTACTCTGCCAAGCAACTTTTCCTGTTCGTCACCAGCTAGAGATGGCATTGCCTGCTTTTCTTATCTCTCTAAACACCCTGGCCAAGTGAATGGTTAAGACACCACCCTTCTCAAAAGAATCTCAGAAGAATGCATCTGCTTCTCTTCACGTCTGATAATGTGGGAAATATCTGTCCACTGCTACTTAAAAAGTTAAAAACCGTTACTCCACACTTAGTGTATATCTTCATATACATATTTTTATGACAAGAATAAGTTTCTCTTCCTGATATTTACATTTCATGACGCAGTAATCGTTTCTTGTTGCAGAGAGAAAAAGCTTCTGTGAAACATTTGTTCACTTTATGCATTCTTATAGAACCTCAGGTAATGTCTTCAGGAAACATCAGAGACGGATTCTACTCAGAGGAATATCCCTAATGCTAGAAAAGTAATTTGCTTTTTTATTTTTAATTGATCTACAGTATATCTGAGTTGTCCAAACACTTCACTGTTAAGTCAGTGACACCTAGTGGCCAAAAAGATTATTAAAACACAGAAGCTCTTACTTATGAAAGAAGTACTAGAATACCAATTATGTTGTACCACAGAAAAACTCATGACTGGAAAAAAAGAGATGTTTACCTTTCACATGAATTCTGCTTTCTGACATTAAACAGAAACACACATAAGAGGTCAATTTTCACTGCTAACATAAGCTATTTGACCAAGTTACATCCCAATACTGTCCCAGTTATGGCAACTGAGATGGTCTCTTCTGTTCTAAAACAACATCTGGGTAGTGACTGAAAAGCAGCTGTAGAAGTACTAGTTAATGGTACACATGGAATAAAAAAAAAAAAGTCAACTTACAAGTGTAAGCTGTAAATATCAGTTTGAGGTGACCACCTTCTCACTTGCATAGACTGGAAATGAGAAAATAATCTTTTTCATCTAAAGTTGAACTCACATCTGATTTTATGATTAAATATTAAACCAGCAGAATTGAATTGTTTGAGACAGAAAAGACAATGAAGACAGTGCTGAGGTTAGGGAAGCATACAAATCAGATGTTTTTTTCCAATTTTTATCTAACATAATTATCATTATGCAGATTAAAAAGATGAAAGAATATTTTTTTGCAGAAAAGAACCATCATTCTATGCTTGTACCTGAAACAGAACATACAACATGCCAGTCATTTTAAAGTTTAGTCAGTTATAACATCATATTCAATTATAAATATTCATATTCAATTATCTAAAACCTTCTCAAGGACTTTGCAGGTCTGATCCAAATGAAGGTAAACACTAACATAATGGAATTACAGAGGTTCTTATTGGTTATTCACAGATAAATTGCACTTCTACATCAATAAAGCATTCAAAGTAAATGGTTGAAAAATTAATATGTGGTTTATTCCCTACAGCACACCTGCAAATATTCATACTTTTAAAGTCAAATTGAATCAGTCAGAGACCTTGATTTGTAGAAGTTGCCTGCAGCTAATCCAGTTGATTCTCGCACATGAGTAGCTCACAAGAAGTATATACAGCAGAGCTTTAGACAGATTCAATTAACGTTTTGCAGTTATACTGGTTTTGAAATATTCCTAGTTGAAAATGTGCCATTCATTCAGTGTAACTAAGCTTTATGTAAAATATACAGTAGGGTATTTAACCAGATTCATATTCTATAATTCATACCTCGCATATGGATATTTAATGCGCACAATCCATATGTGGTATAAGACACCTCTGAGCTTTCTCTTGTAATTGAAAAAGCATCTGCTCTGTGCAGCTTTGCTCTGCTGAGCAAAGCTGTTGGCTACCATGACAACTGGGAATCTTCTATAGTAACAGTGGCTTATGATACTTTGTTAAATGAAAGGACAATATTGTTGGACTGTAGGGTGCAACAAGTTAAACTACATGTGACACCTAATTACTCTGTCAACAGATGTGACTGTGTTTGTGGTACAGGAGCAGACAATTCAGAGTAGCACGCTTTAAATCTCAGTATTCTATATAATGTGTATCTCAGCTTGATACAAGAAATGCAGAAGGTGTTTTCAGTAAAATTTTATTTTTCAGTGCATGAACGGAACACCATGGTGAGGTCATAGCTTGTCCTTTTCAATCCATTTTTAAATATTTTCTATTTTTATTACATTAAAAAAATAATGAAGCAATTTAATATACCTCTATTTTTTCTCCCCGAAAGAGCACTCAGCAAGTATTTAAAAAGGTGCTGTACAATGTACAAACATTTACATCTACTGTTCCTACAGAATGTAAAAGATACCACAAGGATTGTTTTACTGATGAAGCAATGCAAGGCCACAGTATAATACAGAGATGAGATACAAAATGAGAGGAAAAATATAAAATAAAAAGAGAGTACTACAGTGCAGGGAACACAGGGCATTATCTGATCCTGAACCAGAGCAAGCTGCCTGTATCCGACACTCAGGGTTGGATTCACTCATTCAACCAGCCAGACTATTGCACAAAAACCTACCGCTGATGGACTCATCATGCATCCTCTAGTGATTTTTAACCTGAAAACTCTCTGAAACATCACAGAGTCCTATCACAGTCAATCACAGACCTTAACCACCATTTGACTGTCACTGATATTGACCTTGTCACACATCTGCTACAATACGGTTTTCCCTGAGCTCATCTGAATATCTTAATCTCATACATTGTATAAGCAGGTATGCTGAGTGTATTTCATTTCCTTGAATTCTAAGCTGGAGCATTTAGTAAAGAAACAGTGATATGAGACTATTTCTCATTTTCACAGTTCCATCATTTGGAACTAGTTGTTTATTTGATAGCCATTAGCTCAACTGCCCCTTAAAGCTCTGCTCTGCCCAGCGCTCCCTCTCCCTGCTCCACTAAGCTCTACTACAATCTGCTACGCTCTGCCCAGCTCTTCAGATATTTGTCCTGATGAAATTAGAAGAAATGAAATTCAACTAAACTTACTGATCAAGCAGAAATAACTTAAAATCTCTGATCAGTTATAGGTCAATCCTGCTCAAAACCTTTTATCAATGCACTGCTGCTAGAGCGGT